GCATCTAGGAATTCCCATGCGTGTCTGTGTTGGCTTGAGCTACTATGGTTACGTTGTCCCAGTTAAACTGATTGCCTTCATTGTCCGAGTGTACTCCTATTAGGGAAAGTTCGTCGTATCATTTTTCTGCTAGCTGATGTTCGTGTATTCTGATGGCTAGCTTCCTTACTGCCTGTCCGATGTAATGTTTGTGGTAATTGTTGCTTGGCATTTTAAACTACATTGGTTCTGCGTGTCGTGGGTATGGGCCTTTAATCCTTGAGTGTTTGTCGTAGCACGGCTGTGGGCTTGTGTGCTACCATAATTCCTCGTGGTCATAGGGGTCTCATCAGTTCTGATATGTTCTTGATGTGGGATAATGTGGCCAGTGTGATAAGGTGTACTGTGTCCTCTTGATGGTGTTTATTTTTAGTAGGCACCTGAGGATGAAGTTGCGCGGATGTCCATTCATAGCGAAGATTTTGTATAGGTGCTCTTCATCTTTTCTGCATAGTTCTGGCATGTTGCAGTGAGTGGTGGCCCGTTTAAATAGTGCCCTAACACAGCTTTGTTTGTGGACTTTAGGTTGTTGCTGTGGAAGTTGAGGATTTGGTCAGTGTGGGTTGCTTTCCTGTATACCTGAGCTACAAATCTTTGCAAAAACATTTTCATGACACTTTTTAGCCCTTCTAATCCCTTGTTTAAGTTCTTTTCTACTTTCCTTCTATACTTCAAGTTCCCATCCTCCTAGACCTTGCGTGAAGGCAAGCCTTCACCATTTTCAAGGAACTATGTACCTGAGCCCTTTAGTCTTCCTGTTCGACAACACTCCCCAAGGCCCTACCATTTAACTGTGTAAATCCTGCCCTGGTTTGTCTTAACAAAATGCAACGCTTTGCATTTATCTAAATTAAACTCCATCTCATACCACTCCTCAACTTGTTGGCCCAGCTGATCAAGATTCCGTTGTACTCTTAGATAATGTTCTTCACTGTCCACTGTCCACTATCCACCAATTTTGGTATCATCCGCAAATTTAGCAACCATGCTTCCTATATTCTCATCTAAATCATTTATATAAATGACAAGCAGCCGTGGACCCAGTACTGATCTCTGCAGAATGCTGCCGGTCACAGGCCACCAGTCTGAAAAACAGCCCTCAACCATACCTTCTTCTCGTACCATCGAGCCAGTTTTGAATCCAATTGGCAAGCACTCCTTGGATTCCATATGATCTAACCTTACCAGTCTACCATGTGGAACCTTGTTGAAGGCCTCGCTAAAGTCCATGTAGACAGTGTCTACAGCTCTGCCCTCATCTAATATCTTGGTCCTCAAAACTCAATTACGTTCATGAGACATGATTTCCAGTAGTGGAACCAGATCTTTCAGTTGCTAAACAAAAACCATAATTGTTGCTTGCTACATAAATAAACTTCACTAGCTCAAGAGCAAAAATTTAGGAATCAACAGAATTTTTAAAAACAAATCAGATGGCATTGATATAACTTGATTTCGGAAGGTTTACTCAACACAGTCCATCAATCTTAAAATGAGATGGCTAAATGTGGCAAAACCAATGTCCATTCTAACTTAAAATGTTAGTGAATTACAGGTAATGTAATGATATCATGAATTCAGAAGAGCTAAGAGCAGCAGGTTCAGTCCATCAATTTGTTGCCACAGTTCAGTTTTCCTTTTTGCCTTCTAGCTCAAAAATTCTCTGTCATCCTTTGATGCATTCAAAAGCCAATAACCAACTCAGATAATAAATTTCATCTTATTCTTCTAGTTTCCAATGAATATCGGCTCAACTTTCCTCCAAAATCGACCCTTTCATCCTGGGAGTCAGCATCCTTTTTATGGCTTCTAATACAATTATATTCCTCCTTAAGTAAGAAAAGCAAAACTTGTATAGTAAGTTCTCACTTAAAGTTGCGGTTGCATTCCTAAAGATCGTGACTTTGAGTGGCTGTAAGCTTATTGTTACTGTAAACTCTGACTGTAGTTAAGTTCTGTTGGATCTTCCTGATCAGGAAACCATATTAAAACAGGTAAGTAGGTTAGAATCTTCTCATTGCGCCTCATTCTTCTAAAGCCAACAATATTGAAACATAAGATTCTTAGGAGATTTAATACTCTAAATGCTGAGAGGTTGTTTCCCCCAGTCGGAGAATCTAGGACCAGAGGGCAGAATCTGAGTAAAGTGTTACCAGTTTAATACCAAAATGAGAAGGAATTTCTTCTGAGGGTAGTGAAACTGTGGATTTTTTTTTTTACAGCGGAAGGCCGTAAGTCTGAACCATTAAGTGATTCACGGGGAATTTAGGGTTATGGGAAAAAGGCAGGAAAGTGGGGTTGGTAATTATCCGATTAGCCGTAATCTCGTTGGCAGAGCAGACTCAGTGGGCCAAATGGCGCATTTATTTTCCACATCTTAAGGTCTTATTATACTCTAGGTTGAAATAATTTTTAAAATTAAAATTAGTTTACAATAATGAAAGAAAAATGTAATTTGCTGAATACACACCTCACCAAAAATCCTGCTTCATGAATCTCCTGAACCTTGATCCTCTTGGTTACTGCAGACATTGCTTCATTCCTGAACATTGGTCAGAGGCCGGGGGCTGCAAGTAGGCAGGTATAGGGACTTGGGGCAGAGGACGCTTAGCCTTAGCAATTGTCCAAAAGTTTTGAGGTAATTCCAGCTTGTTTGGGTGAGATTGAGGGCTCCAAGTGCATGAACAAACTGACTATGGCATCATGGTGCAGGAAATAATTCCGGTGGAGAGTGCAAAAAAAGATGTTGCAGAGAATTGAGCAGGCCAAGCAGCATCATAGGAGCAGAAAGGCTGACGTTTCGGGCCTAAACCCTTCATCAGAAATGGGGGAGGGGAAGGGTGTTCTGAAGTAAATAGGGAGAGAGTGGGAGACGGATAGAAGATGGATAGAGGAGAGGATAGGTGGAGCGGAAACAAACAGGTCGAAGAGGCGGGGATGGAGCCAGTAAAGGTGAGTGCAGGTGGGGAGTTAGGGAGGGGATAGGTCAGTCCAGGGAGGACGGACAGGTCAAGGGGACGGGATGAGGTTAGTAGGTAGGAGATGGGAGTGCGGCTTGAGGTAGGAGGAGGGGATAGGTGGGAGGAAGAACAGGTTAGGGAGGCGGGGACGAGCTGGACTGGTTTTGGGATGTTTGGGGGGAGAGGAGATTTTGAAGCTTGTGAACTGCCGTCAAGACATCAATCGCCTCAACCACTCCACCCCTCTCACCCACTCCAACCTCTCCCCCACAGAATGTGCAGCCCTCCGCTCCAATCCCAACCTCACCATAAAACCCGCGGACAAGGGAGGCGCAGTTGTAGTATGGCTCACTGACCTCTACATCGCCGAGGCCAGATGCCAACTCTCCGACACCACCTCCTACCACCCCCTTGATCATGACCCCACCCCCGAGCACCAAACCATCATCTCCCAAACCATCCACAACCTCATCGCCTCAGGTGACCTCCCACCCACGGTCTCCAACCTCATCGTTCCCCAACCCCACACCGCCCGCTTCTATCTCCTTCCCAAAATCCACAAACCTGAATGCCCTGGTCGACCTATTGTCTCCGCCTGCTCCTGCCCCACCAAACTTATCTCCAACTATCTGGACTCCATTTTCTCCCCCTTGGTCCAGGAACTCCCTACCTATATCCGTGACACCACCCACGCCCTCCACCTCCTCCAGAACTTCCAATTCCCCGGTCCCCAACACCTCATCTTTACCATGGACGTCCAGTCCCTCTACA